CCCACCCCCTGCCACTCAAGGTTTGCTACCGCTGGCGGCGCGCGCGCGCCCGCCACAGACGCTCAGCGGGCCAATCGGAGAGGAGGACAGTCTTCCTCACCCCGCCCCTCGCGGTCTTACACGCAGCGACGTTCCAGGTTCCCTCCCCCACCCCTTCCTTCAGCCAATCAGGAAACGACAAAAAGGGAGCGCGCGAGGTTTCCTTCCCCGCGCACCCGTTCTCACCGTTAAACGGCTGTCTCGCGACAATCCCAAAGTGACCTTTTCCCCCCCTCCAGAGTTCAATGCGCGCTAGGGGCAGTACGAAGGGGCAGGTCTCGCGAGGGAGGCGGGTGACAAGAAATCGCACCTCTTTCCCCGCCTCACGCGCACCCTAGACTGGCTGCGCGCGCACCTGCCTCCCTAAGGAGCCACTGATGCCGCAAGGGCTCTTTCTATTCTTCTTTAGGCCGCAGAGGTAGCCTGGGCGTTCTTTCTCCTCCACCCTACCCCACTTTCCTGTCTTTGGCCTTTCTGTCCCCAGCGCCGCCAGATCTTGCGCGGAGAAGGGGGTAGTATTTTGAGCTGTCGCTTCTCCTTTAAGAAAAAAAGCCCCGTCGGTTGCCGGATGAAAGTCTCTGAAAAAATGGCGGCGGCAAAACGGAGGCGGGGTTGTGGGTCAACGAGGGCCCGCCTCCTGGCGCATGTGCACCGTTAACTTAACCAAGGGCATTCTGGGAGATGAAGTCTTATTTCGCCTAGGCTTTAGAAAAAAATAGATGGGAAACCAGAGACAGAGAGGATGCTGGGAGGTTCTGACTGATCACGACGGGAAAGGTAGTTTACTTTCCGCAGCCTAGCGTTTACTTTTTTTTCGGGAGGCAGTGTTTCCGGGTTAGGTCGGGAAACGCATGCCGTACATCCGGGCTCAAATGTTGAGCCAATTGCTGGTCTGATGGGAGGGTTTTTCCTATTTTTTGTTACTTTTTATCTGGACGTTGGCGTACCTTTCTAGAGGTGTCTGCGTAATTGCCCCGACTTACCTTGGTTTGGTCAGATGACACCTCCTCTGGAACTGGCTAGCCAGCGTTTATGTCTACATTATTGATCTCGTCGTCCCCTATGTGAGTCAGTCACCTGTGAGCTCCTAGAGGTCAGGGAATGAATGTGGTTCCGTGGGGTCATCTGGCCCTCGGAACGCTAGTACAAGGCCCACTACTCAGTTGGCTCTTAATAAAATCTGTGAAACGAATTATAAAGTTGTTTTCTACTAGACCTTGTTGGGACACCAAGAAGCCTTCGTCGGTAGCTTAACTTGGCTGCGGTGCCCGACCTGGAGGAAGGCGAAAGGGTTGTTAGCGTGACCAGACTCTGGTGACCTACACTGAGAAGCTAAAGGGTCTCTTAAGCTCTGCGGCCGGAAGCCATGTGCTTCTGCGGTTTATACAATAGCAACTTTATCAGAAGTTACTTTTCTGCACACTAGCGTGTGACGTTAATTTGTCTTCCTGATTCATCAAAGGGAGTTTCCGTTGCAGTTGGTGATGCCGTAGGCCTCTCCCATTTCTTTTTTCCTTTCATCCATAACAATCAAGGAACGATTTGCAAGAACACCCTTTACCCCTGGAAAATAAAGCATCCAGGGCTAAAAGCCCCAGAAGAAAGAAGCTGGAAACAAGATCTGGGGATTCAATTTTAAATTTCACATTAATCATTCAGTTAAACTGTAGACAAGTGCTGAAGTACATTTTTCCTTCCAGTACTTTGACTCAGATACCACTTCATATTAGACAAATGTTTTATGTTCTCTACTGAGTATTTTACATTTTCATAGGGCTAATGTCATTTTCAGTTGTAACAATCGATTGGCATAGTGTCAATGGAAATTTTTTCAGATTGAGTTTGCAGTGAGCAGACTTTTGGAAGGAACAGTGCTGACATCCAATGGATGCTCAAAGTAATACAGAGGAGAAATCTTTCAAAAAAAAATGTACAGACAGTGGAATGAAGAATGAATTGTTCCTTTAAAAAAAAAAAAAAGCCACTATGGGCTGGATGTGGTAGTCCACCCCCGGAATCCCAGCGCTTTTGGATGCCAAAGTGGGAGGATCCCTTGAGCCCACAACTTCCAGACCAGCCTGGGCAACATAGGGAGACCACCCTCTACACAAAAAGTAAAAAACAGAAATAAATAAAAATAAAGTTTTTAAGCCAACTTAGTGGCGTGATGGCATGCACCTCTGGTCCTAGCTACTCCCGAAACTGAGAAGGGCAGATCGCCTGAGTCAAGGAGTTCCAGTTGGAGGTTACACTGAGCTATGCTAGTACCATTGCACACCAGCCTGGGTGACAGAGAGCTTGTCTCTTAAAAAATTAAAAAGACTACTGTGTTGTAGAGGAAAGATCGCAGACTTTGAAGTCTTCTATTATAGTAAGTAGCAAAGCTACCAATTAATTATAGCAAGTTGCTCTTCCATGAACCTATTTCACCATTGGTAAAAAGGGAGGGGGAAATCTACTTCACAGGGCCATAATTATAGTTCCTTACATATTGCCTTTTTATAGTAGGCCTTTTGTAAATGTTTCATTCAAGGTGAATAAATCACAGTGGTTAAAAAAAGTGAAGAGTTAACCTCAGTGTCACTTTCCAGAGAAATTGCTATAAGGCAGTGTATCTAGACAGGGATTATGCTTAACTGAGATGCACACAGTTTAACATCCGGTGTCAAACCTCGCTTCCTTCTTTGTGACCCCCCTATAGATGTTTGCTTTTTGGACCACTAAGTAAGCCAGGCCCTGAGAATCCAAGCATGAATCCACTTCTGCCCTACTTTTAAGGATTTATAATCCATGCAGGAAAGCAGATAAGCATAATTTCTGAATAAATAAAGACAACAAAATGAAATGGATGCTGGTCAACTCTGATGGAAATTTTAAGAAAGAGACTATGCCTCTGTGGTTCCCCAGCTTCACAGAAAGAAAAAAAAAAGAAAGGTAGATGCTCAGTTAGAGTGGGGTACCTACACTTGGAAAAAACGCAAGTGTAAGTCTGCCATTCCCGTGAATCCAAGATGAATCCTGGCACAGAGTAGGTCCTCAGTTTTTGCAAAATTAATTTTGAATCTTTATCACCCTGGCCAATGCACTACCATAACTCAAATCTCACTATCTACCTTTCTATGTCAATTCCATTTTTAAAACTGTATAACCTATAGAAAAAAAAAAAAAAAAAGCTCACCAAATCAAAAGAGAGGAAGTGCTAAGCAAATACAGGAACCAAAAAGGGTTATAGAGGCTGCCTTATGCTGTCTCATCCAGTTCCTTTGCGGTCCTCTTCTTCAGCACATGCCAAAGCTGTTCCTCACGGCCTGTGAGACAAGAGCATCTTGGATGTAGGACAATGGAAGAATTAGGTGAGTGAGGAGCTTCTTGGAGGAGAAACTCTGAGGGAGTGAAGACTTGGCTGCCATCTCCGTGTGTGGTTTGGTATTCTTCTGGTTAGACTGAGGGTAGTAATGGAAGATTTTATTTTCACTTCTCTCCTGTCCTCAGCCCTGCCAAGAGTGAAGCATGAGGAACTATGATTGTTTTGGGGAACTATGGGCTCACTGTTTGCAGTGGCAAAATAGATGGAGAGTTTGGTGCTAACCGCAAATACTTTTGGCAAATACTTTTGGACTGGATTGTGATTGAAATTGCTGTTTTATTATGGGCATTTTGCCCTTTGGAGTTCACTGGAGATCATAGGATGGCCACATAGCAAGACAATGCAGAGATGTGATTTGAGGAGGAAAAGAAAGAGCAAAAAAGGAGTTGGGGTGTTATGAGGAAGAAAAAATGGACTAAAAGTATAGGGATGAGGGATCTGTAGAGGTTGGAAAAAGGACAGAGTGGTTTCATTTGTTCCATGTTTTAGTCTTAAATCAAGAAGGCATAGCACTCTAACTCTAGTGATGTTGTTGCTAAGCTTTTTATTCAGAAGAATTCTGAAGGAAGAGATTATTATGGCCTGAAAATATGACACCTCCTTCCACTCCAAGGCAATTAAAACCAGCAGTGGAACTATTAGCCACATTATCCAGAAAGATCCTGGATTTCAAACCTTTGGAGTAATGTAAGGTTTGTCATTCTTGGGACTCATTCCATAGCCTTTGCCAACACTGTTGCATCTAACTAACATTGAGTCACTCAACTTTACCCAATTTCCAAGCTGTATTAATTCCACAGTGTCCTGGTTTGGGGTGTGGTTGGGGATGGGATATGTCAAAAGTGCAAAAAACAACAACAAAAAATATCTTGCACATTGTTACATTGTCTTAAAAAAATGGCGTGTGATTTCAAAGCTGGAGAAACAGGAAAAGTAAAGGGCAAATTACCAGGAGGCAAGAGATGTCAATGAAGTGAAAAAGGTAGTGTTTAATAACTATCAAACTGCTTTGGCGGTAAAGTCTATTTTGATACTGGGCCAGACTCTTTTTTGGACTTCCGGTAGAATCCAAATTCTTATCCTGCGTAAGTGCTGGAAGAATGTGAATTTCTGCTTGCGTTCCACTAGGGCTAGGGCCTTTTTTCTTTTTCGTTTTTTTCTTTCTTTTTTTTTTTTTTTTTTTTGAGATGGAGTCTCGCCCTGGCTTTCATGGCAAATAATTCAAAAGGAAACTA